TGCTCAGGGCTTACTCCTGGCTCTGCACTCAGGAATCACTCTTGGAGGTCCTCGGGCCACTGACCATATGGGGTGCTGGGGATAGAGCCTAGATCGGTTGCGAATAAAGCAAATGTCCTGCTTACTATACTATTGCCAAGCCATTGTGGTTATGGATTAAGAGAGTGATTAGTATGGATGATCAGTGAATCAGCAAAGGACAGAGGAGCAGCCAAGCCTAGAGAATTCCTGGAGAGTGGCTGTGCCCTGCCTTGTCCACTTCTTCCACTCTTTCTACTCTGTCTATTGTTTTCTTCTGTAGGAATGTTCTTCAAGTCTATGTATTGGCATGGTTAGTGATGACAACACTGGAATCTGTCATTTTCTATGGAGTTTGTTGTTTTCCTGCACAGGGTAGAAACTGGATCTGTGACTTCAGCGGCTTCTTTTAAGTGATGACTAAGGCAGGAGCCCTACCCTGAAAGCCATGTCAATTGAGGAAAGCAGATGAGCAAGAGGTGGGGAAGGGGGATGGGGGAGAAGTGTGGGTGGGCAGGAAGATGAGGTGGGAAAGGGATAGAGATTGGGAAAAAGCTTTATTCAGGTGCAGGGGACTCTCACATATGCCAAATCCTCTATTGATGAGAGTGAATCAGAAGATTTCCATAGCTCATTCTCTTTCCTGTTTCTCTGAACTGAAGAAAAGGAAGTGACAGTGATTTAACAGCCTGATTGTGGGGCTGAGGAAAGCAGATTCTGTACCAGACCTTTGAGTATGAAAGAGGATATCCTTGGTGTGGCCTCCTAACCTCCGTGCCCAACTCTGCTTGGGGTCTTGTTTTGTCTGAAGTTCCCCTTGGAGGAAGAGCTGAGATCTGTTTCCATACAGGTGCTCTGGGAATGGGAACTGAACAGTCTCAGTGGGAGTGTGACCAAAGCCAGACATATGCCTGTGGTAATTCTGTCAGCGGTGTGCCTGGGAAGCTGAACTGAGACTATGTTTGCATTTCTTCAAGCATCAGACATATTTCATGCCAGAAACAAATAAATACGTTTCTATTTAAGTCATAAAACAGGGTTCATAGGCTCCAAGGAATTCAGAAATCCCCTTCAAACGAGAGAGAGAGAGAGAGAGAAGAAAACAAAACTTTGTCAAAAAAATCATTCACCCTCTGCTCTCCAGAGAAAGGGAGACATCAAATCATTTCTAGAAAAGGGGCAAGGAGTCCTAATGCCTTCAGAGCACAGGGAGAGGGAGATGAGGTCGCAGAAAACCAGAGTGGCCACGGGATACGAAACAGCTGTGCAACAAAACCATAATTCACCTCCAACACTCAATGAGAGCTACCCTTATTGAGATGTGCAGTAGCTCTGTTCTCCTCCCACCTGCCTCTTTCAGTGCCCGTGGGGTCTCTGACTACCCACCTGTGAACAGGTGCTCACGACTCCTTTGCTGGGCTGTCTGTGAAGTTGTTCTAGGGTGGCTTCAGGAAGTGCCAGAGATGCCTGGAGAAGTTTCATGTCCTGCCAGGGTTTCCAAGCACATGTTTTGAGCACAGTGGGGCAGAACTCCAGGTCTGGCGGCAGCTGTGGAGTCCCAGCACCCAGAACTGGTACAAGGATCCAGTCAGCTGCTGATTTTAGTTTCAGTGCTCAGGACCCTCCCGGAGACCCCTCATCCCAGAGACCTAGGACAGGCAAAACAGCCGGTACACAGCACACGGAGCAGTGGTGAGCTGCGCTGGGTGGAGACTTGCCCAGAATCTCTGCATCCTGAGGCTCCTCCTTTCTTCACAGGGGCCATATTTGCATTTTGGCCTTAGCTTACCCTACTGACTACTGCTGCATTGCCCCTTTCTCTTTCCCAGATTTTCTGTCAGTCACTCCCCTGCAGTGTCTGTCTTGGGGGGACGTGAACCAACCCAGCTCTCCTTAGAGGTGCCATTACTGGTCATTTTAGACAATATTTTCATTAATATAGCATAAAAAATACAAAACCCTGGGTTCCCACCTGGAAACGGTTCCCACGGCTTGCCAACCCATTTCATTACAGAGCTAGGCATTCACTGCATGTTGTTCCATCTTTCTATTCTACCTATAGAAATTATTAGGGATCATGACATCACCAATCTAGCTTCCTGGAAGGCGCTTAGAGTCCCTGGAGATGAGACAGAGGCATGAGATAGTCAAACACATATTTTATTTTTGTACAGAGATTCATTCCAGAATCCCAGGCTGGAAAACACAAAAGCCTCAGGAATGACCCCTCTCCACTTATGTGAGTCTTCCCGAAAGCCAGGCCAACGAGGTCAGCTTGTGGATCTCCCTTTCTCAGGAGTTCCTTCCAGGAGAAGGAGCATTCCAACCCATCAGCATTCTGCTGGGCGCGAGGAGGACAAGGACTCCTGCCCTTCAGAGTTTCCCATAAATACCCCCCTACCCACCCTCCCCCTTACTATGATCTGATGTGAATTCATGATATACATCCACTCACTTCTGGGAGCACGAGGAAGAGGAGATTGGCACAATGCAGGGGGCCAGCAACTGGACCCACATTTTGGAGGAACATAACAGATGGCTCCATGATGTCTTACATTCTATTACTACTGAAAGAAAAGCATCCAGGAGATTAACACAGGGCGACAGGCTCTATAAAATGAGACCCATGCACAGTGCAAATCACAGCATTTCTCACATATAGGATCTGACAGTATTTTTATAAGTTAAGTAGGTCTTAGGGGGCAGGTCAAAGGACGGCTTGCTGGGTTCTCTCAGAGGGGATGTTCTGCCATATTTTAAACCTCATAGGTGGCCCCATGTCTATTTTTCGGATGCAGTGATGGTACTGTCAAAGCGCATCCTTTCTGTTTTCCTGCTCGGACTGATGGAGTGACCTTAGAGTCACTCTATAAAGTTTCAGTCTTTGGCTTAATTGCCATGTAGAATGTAAGTCTTTAGAATCCCGTGGTGAATCTTCCTTTCAGCTACTTCGCTACCCAGGGAAGTACAAATGAATTATCAGTGGCCAGTCTGGCAGGCTCCTCAAGAGTGGGAGAAATGACATATCCCTTAGTGAGGGAACTCAGGGCCAAGTGCAGAGTGGGTGTTGAATCCAGCTCTTACCCCTTCCACAGAGAGCATATCTTCAATGTCTTGACGCTTTCTTCTTAGGTATTTCTCATCATCATGCTACTTCTTTCTATTCCTCTAAAGTGAATCATCTCTACATGGCTCAGTTCTTTGCTGGAACCATGATTATACTTTAGGCCCTGAATTGTGTCAACCCAAGTTTATACCTCTCATTAATATATCTGCAACAAGCTGACTTCACTTAACTTACTAATGTCTTCCCATACTATTTTGCAGAATATGATTCTTGATTTTTTTTGTTTTTGGCTGTACCTGGTAGTGTTCAGGGCTCAGGGATCACCCCTTTTGGGGGTCTGGGAACCACAGGGGTGCCAAGAATCAAATCTGGGTTGGCCATGTGCAAGGCAAGTACCTTACCCACTGTACTAAAATTCCCTGGCCTCTGACTCTTAGATCTTTTGGGTTTACACTATTGCCATATAACTTTGCAAGGCTTCTCAAAATCCCAATCAGGTTGGAGGAAGCAAGAGTGGTAGAGACTGTACCATTTATCGGAAGCATTTTTCTTGCTCCACAGTAAAGATGCAGAACATGCACATTCATTCTTCAAAGCACAAGAAGGACATTCATGTATATTATAGAGTCTTGTGCTTGCCTGTTGACTTAGGAGACAGAAGTAGGTGGCATGCTCAGCGGCTGGAAATCCCGAGGTGGTGTTGGGACAGAAAGCTTTAAGTCCATGACACTTGGTAGAAGATCCTGCAATGTTGGTGGGTCATCGCCCCTCTTACAGCCAGGGGATCAGCAGAGCTGGGGAAGAGGAGAGCTGGAGAGCCAAAAGGAAGAAGCCAGGGCAACTGCCTCCCACAAGTGTTTCTCTCTTCCCAGGCACCAGAGCACATGCCTTCTGCTTGTACAAAGCTAAGACTGGCGGGTGTCCACTCTAAGAAACCTCAAGATTGCATTTGCTTGCCAGTCTTGCTGGCATCTCAGCTGTGGGCACCAGCTGAGATGCCTGATGCACAGGTGCAGATTTTGATACAAAGTCCCAAAGCCCTCTGTAAAAAGTCCAGAGTCTCCAGGAGAAAGAAAGTTCTCACAGTTTTAGTATCGATTAGAGAATGGTTAATATGGATATTAACACATGATCTCAGGAGCTGGATAAGAAGTCACTATTCTTGTGCTCCTATTCTTTCTGAAACAAAAATTTTTTGAGGGGTGGTCGGGGGTCACACTTGGTGGTTCTCAAGGAATAATTCCATATTGGTGCTCTGGCCAGCTCCTGGCAGTGCTTGGGGGACCATATGTTGCCAGGGAGTGAACTTTGGCCTCTCACATACGAAGCATATAAACTAGCCCTTTGGGCTATCTCTTTAGCCCAGAGACCACCAGTTTATTTTAGCTATCTCTCAAGCCCTGAGATCACCTGTGTGTGTGTGTGTGTGTGTGTGTGTGTGTGTAACAACAAGAAACTCATACAATCACTGAACCATTGAACATTAAAATCAGATGGAACACACCTACACGATATGGTTCAACCCCATGCTGTTTCTAAATAAGGAAAGAGGCTCAGACAGGTTAAGTATGAATCAGGTCTCCTGAATTTTTGTCTATGCAGCCACTAGCTGGTAGCAGTGGGTGGATATATCCTGCTTTCACTTTTTTACTTAGAATAGTCCTGGGGATATTAACACAAATGAATCCCAAGACTTTTAGTCTCATAATTAAACACACTGAAGTAATGAGATGTTAAAGAAGGCAGAATTATATCTCTTTTCCATGTATGCTTCAAAGACTGGGTTAAATCATTCAAATTTCAATTGATTCCTTTGGTTGTTCTCTCATGAAGTGAAGGGTGATGTCATGTGGACCAGCAGTTGAAAGGAGATAAACCGAGCAGGGCTGAAACTGAGTTTAGACAAGATCCAAAACAGAACAACTGGATCCATTACTGCACTGCATGATTTATTCTGAAGGGAGCATCTGTATTCAGAGATAATTCTTGAATCACAGAATGTATTGTTGAAAAACCCTAGCTCAACCTTCTTACTTCATAGGCTCAGAGAGGTTTTGTGATTTGTCTTGAGTTGCACGGATTGGGAGTGGTAAAGACCTGGAAGCATCCAGAAATTTAACTCTGATCAGGATGAAATGTTTGCCCTAAACCACCCTGTCTCTTTCCACAAGCCCTGATGTTAAGGTGTTTCTGATGGCTTCAGAGGAAGGAACTACCCATGCATGAAATGAGACAAGGCAAAGATGAGTGGCTGGTCCTGATGACAGTGCCACTGTCTAGGAGAGCATGTTGGAGTAGAAACTCAAGCTCTCTGTCATGGTCTTGGAGTCGCTGCGAGAGGATCCATTGGAGGTCAGGTCCAGGGAAGAGGGTGCAGCCTTGGGGCCATCCTCTTGCTCCTCCTCCTGGGCCCCTACCACGGTAGAGACGGTGGTCTCCAGGCGGCTGACCTTATACACACTGCCCTGGGTCTGGAGGTATCTGGTCGATTTCATTTCCAGCCCCTCATAGTCCCCGGCACTGATGAAGGGGCAGCAGCGGAAGGCATGCTTGAAGCCCACCCGGAACCTGGAGGGAGAGACACAGATATGAGGTATGGAACAGACCATGTTCAGAGAGTGACCCCCCCACCCCCACTGCTAATCAGCACACTTGCACATGATTCATTGTTATTATTTTTGGAATTAACTGATAGCAGAAGAAGCTGAGATCCAGAAAGCTTAAAGGTCAATTAACCAGGTTAGATTCAGGAGAACCTATGGGCACCGAAAATGCATGTGGATTCTGAGACTTTGGGTCAATTCAGGACTCAGTCTTTTCCCTAAGATTAACTTAGTGCCTAAAGGGTACTTCTGGGACTGGAGTGGTAACACATTTGGTAAGGAATTTGCCTTGCATGGGGCTGACCCAGGTTAGATCCCTGGCATCCCATATGGTCCACTGAGCACCACCAGGAGTAACCCCAAGCACACATGCAGGAATAGCCCCTGAGGAATGCCAGGTGTGGCCAAAAATAAAATTAAAAAATATTTTTTTTTGCCAACCATGTCCTTTCAGTGTGCCTCAGTTTCCCTGTTTGTTAAGCTGAAAGAGCTGGCCTTTATGTAAACACGCCAGGGCAGGTAGTCAGTTTCTCTGGAAGGATGACTGTGTGAGGCAGACCAGGAGAGATCTCAAACACATCCAAGAGCTTGTTTGTCCCCAGCAGCACATCCCCCGGGGTCACCTTCACATTGGCCCTTGCAGGTGGGGAGAGCATGACAAGCTTTTCATATCCTTTCCTACATCAAGGTTGGGGTACTGTTCTGGATGCTAGGCTGAGTTGCTCTCTCTCGGGAACTCTGTGCTTGTTGTGGACTCCCCTTGGTGACCCTCACCTCCTAGGCCTCTCCCTCTTCTTACAGGTCTGCAATTGGTTTGTTCTGAGCACCTGATCCTCCTACCAGCTGTAACTGAGTAAAGGCATACCCAGGTCTTGGAGTCCCTGACTTCTTTGCCTTACCTGGTCTTCCCAGAAACTCTGAAAGCGAGGCAGGGAAGAGGCCCGGCTAGTGCGATGAGAAGATAGAAGGGAAACTTTGGAAAAAGGGGAAAATGCCCTGGGAGGATAGCATTCTAGGGTTGTCATCTGCCTGGCTGACTGTCTGTCTGTCTCTCCTTCACTTGCATGCAGATCCCCTCCTAGAGCAGGGTAGACTCACGCAAAGACTGAGTCAGGTGTAGTGTGCAGATCTTTATATGATTAACCTAGGTTTAAAAACTTCCCCCAGCCCCAACTTAGTTGGAGAGTTCACTGGATGAATTCACACAAAATACGGATTTGTGGCTTTGTTCGGGAAATTAAAAAACTACATGCACTCTGGGTTTGCACTCCTGCTCAGTGATAGCCAGCAGGCAGGGGTCTGAGCAGGTCCTGGTTTGTCCTCACCTCCCCCTCTCGTGTCACAGTCAGCTTTGCTCACTTATGTTGGCTTCCTGGCAGCTAAATAGACCGGTGGTCTTGCAGTTCCAAGGGGCCTGGGGTCCTTACCTGTCATTCAGGCAGCAGTAGATGATGGGGTTGTACATGGTGGAACTCATGGCCAGCCACATGATGGCCAGGTAAACCTGCTGAATAAACTTCTCCGAGGTGAGGTCCGGTTTGATGTAGGGCAAGAGGAAGAAGATGTGGAAGGGCAGCCAGCAGATGGCAAAAGTGCACACCACAACGATCATCATCTTGACCACCTGGCAAGAGAGTGAGGCAGATGAGACCACCAGCACATTTTCTTCTCATCTTTTTTTTTGAAATCTCAGGCAAGACTTGCTCTTTCTCCCTCCCACCATTGCTCTATACCGAGTAGTGTGTGCTGGGAAGGGCTTTATAAACCCTCTTGAGGAAAGGAAGGGATTAAGGACTTTGATCGCATCAGTGACTTTTGAAAGGAGCGATAACAGCTCTCTCCCTTGGGAGCTTGTCAGAAATGCAAGTTCTTGGGCTCACATAGATTTAGAAACTCTGGGAGTGTGGCCGGGAGTTCTGGATTTGATAAGTCCTTCCAGTGATTCTCCTTCTGAGTTGCACTTGAGACCATTGCTGTGTCATCCTGCTGGACAATGACTCATGAAGTCAAGGAAGGGCTGATGACCAAGCAAAGGGGAGTGGGTGTTGGGGAGACACAGAAAGTGGAAGAGACAGCACCTGATGGGTGGGAAGGATTTGGATAGCTCAGCGCCCGGGTGTGGGATATTTAAAGGGAATTTAAAAGGAGCTGTTGTTAGGGGGAAAAATAGTCATGAAATTAGTTTATAAATGAATAAACATGGAGAGTATCATGCTGAGTGAAATGAGTCAGGAGAGGGACAGACATAGAATCATTGCACTCATTTGTGGGATATAATAAAATATAATATGAGATGAATACTTAAGGATGGTAGAAACAAGGACCAGGAGGATTAGTCCATGGTTGGAAGCCTGCCTCAAGAGCTGGGGACAAGGCAGTTGGGAAAGAGAAGGGACAACTAAGACAAAGATTGTTAGGAATGATCACTCTGGATAAGAACTGCATGCTGAAAGTTGGCAAAGGAACAAACATGATAACCTCTTAGTATCTGTATTGCAAACCATAATACCGAAAAGGAGCGAGCGAGCGAGAGAGAGAGAGAGAGAGAGGAAGAAGAAGAAAAATGCCTCCCATAGAGACAGGCTTGGGGAGGGGGGTGGTGGGAAGGAAACTGAGGACATTGGTGGTGGGAAATGTTCACTGCAGGAGGGATGGATGCTAGAACATTGTATGGTTGAAACCTGATCATGAACAGTGTTGTAACTGTGCATTCAGTTAAAAAAAAAGTAAAAGCTTTCATGGGGGCTGGGGTGACAGAACCGAAAGTAGGGCCCTTGTCTTGCATGCCAGCCCATATTCCATCTCCAGCACCCATATTTCATCTCCACCATATGAGTAGTCCCTGAGCTCAGAGTCAGGAGTAAGTCCTGGGAACTATTGGAGTCACCCCCAAACAAAAAACAAGAAGAAAGTGTCACAGGGACCGGAGACAGGGGGTGAAGTTCATTCCTGACATGTGGCCAACTCTGATTCGGTCCCCCACCATATGGTCTTCTGAACTTCTCCAGGTATAGCCCTGGAAATCCCCAAGCACCTCTGGGTGTGGCCCTGGGGTGCCAGCAGCCCTGGGTGACCTGGACAATTCCCGGCACTACAAGACCTAATCAGCAGTGTGTCTTCACTGAGTAGGTTGCTGGGAATATTTGGACCATCCTTGGCCTCCTGAACACAGGTTGGGAGACACCACCCCAGACCTCCAAGGAGGGTTTTTACTGTTGACAGAATTGTACATCAGTCTGATTAAAAACACTGAAAGGGAAAAAGAAGAGCCTGACCCCAAAACAGGTTTGATGAACACTGGCTGGTGTAACCACTTCCATTTAACCCCCAGAGAAACCTTCAATAAAGACACATCTACTATCCATTCAGTGAAACACTATGCTAAGAGGCACCAAAAGAAATTTTAAAATATAATAAGAAAGCTCTTCGTTTTTCAAAAAAAATTTTTTTGTGCTTATTTGTGAAGTTTTGGGGTGGAGTGGGCCACTTCTGGCGGTGCTTAGGAGATTTTCCTGACTGTGGTATGAGTGTGCTCAGGGGTCACTCCTGGAGGTGCTTGTGGGACCAGATGTAATAACTCTGGAAACCAGGAGAGCATGTAATTTGCCTTCTGTACTACCTTTCTGGCTCCTATATGTAACCATGGCGCAGTATTTGTTATCCGAATATTGCAGATATTTGCTAATTGAAAAATTGAGGTCAGTGCTTGTTGCAGAAAAGAAAGGGATTTATATTTGCATATAAATGCATGGCAGTGTCTGGAACAAAGAGGAGGTTACTGTGCTTTCCTGGCTTCCCTGGTTCTTGGAGATAACTCTTGAAGGCACCAGGAGGTGACTCCTGCCTGCAGAGCAAAGAGAAAGCTCTTCTCTTCCCTCCTCTCCCTCCCCTCCCCCTCCCCTTTGCATCTCCCGGACCCCCCCTCTCCCCCCTGCGCTGCTGCCTCCTCCCCTCCTGGGTTTCTGGGGCGGCGCAGACTAGCTCTGCTGGGGCTCAGCGGGGCTCTGAGCTCTTGGAGTGTGTGTGCGCGCGGACACCCTTTGCTCACCTTTCGCTTGGCAGAGACTTGCTCGTGGTAGCGGTCAGAGGAATCCCCAGGGATCTCGCTGGCCCACAGAGTGATTCCCACAACGGTGTATGCGTAGCCGATGACCAGCAGGGGGAGGAAGTAGACCAGCACGGTCACACAGATGTGGTACCTGCAACACGGATTTAGAAGGATGGGGCTCAGGGGAAGAAATCGCAGGGGTGGTGGAACCTGACAGCGACCTCCAGCACTTGCTGTGAGTGAGCAGGGAGGAGGCAGCTCTCAGGAGGCTTGTCACAGCCGTGGGTACAACTAAAGGGTAGCCTTGGAAAAAGCAAGTCACTTCAAAGGGTATTTTTCTTCTAGGCTTTTCCCACAATGGAACTTGCTGTTAAGATGGAAAAGATATGGGGACAGAGAGATAGTACAGTGGGTAGGGCTCTGGCTCTGCATGTTGACCTGGGTTTGATCCTGGCACCGCTTATGGTCACCTGATCACCAGGAGTGATCCTGGATCACAGAGCAGGAGTGAGGTTGAAGAGAGTCCAGCTCTGAGGAGCTGGACTCATTGTGTACCCAAGTCAATTTTCACTTAATCACTTAATCACTTAACTTCCCGTTAGTCGTCGATTTGCTCGAGCGGGCGCCAGTAACGTCTCCATTTGTCCCTGTCGCGTGCTAGTGTAGCCCAATGGCATCTCTTCGCTCCAGGAACATGGAGGGCCTCAAACCGATCGTTCATGACCTTGACAAAGAAGTCTGACCATCTGGTAGGTGGGCGGCCACGCGGTCTCTTGACATCCCGTGGAATCCAATCAGTAACAGCTCTAGTCCAACGGTCGTCTTTAAATCTCATTACGTGACCAGCCCATCTGATTTTCGACACCTTGGCAAATGAGACAGCGTCCCTGATCCTTGATCGTCGACGGATGTCAGAACTCCGGATTCGTTCTCTCATTTGAGTGAAACGTGATATTCCAAGCATAGCTCTTTCTATTCTTCTTTGGGAGACCTGAATGGCGTTCTCATCTTGTTTGCGTAGGGCCCAGGTCTCTGAGGCATATGTTAATGCAGGAAGAACAGTGGAATCAAAGAGATGTGCCCGGAGCCGGAGGTTCTTCGTCCTCTTAGCTATTTCTTCGACGTTCTTGAAGGCGTTCCAAGCCGCTCTCTTCCTCCTGCGCAGCTCGGGTGCCAGGTCATTTGTCATGTTGACCTCTCGACCTAGGTACACATAGCTGTTGCATTCGGAGATGGTCGTTCCATTGAGAGCGAATGGGGAGTCAGGAACAAGGCTATTTCTCATAAACATTGTCTTCGTAAGATTCAGCTGTAGTCCTACCTTTCCACACTCACGGTCAAAGTCGGCCAGCATTTGTGCCGCTTGGCTGATGTTTGGTGTTATTAAAACAATGTCATCAGCAAAGCGGAGGTGGTGTAGTTGCCGACCATCTATCTTCACTCCCATTCCTTCCCATTCCAGTCGTCGCATGATGTTCTCGAGGGTGGCACTGAAGAGTTTTGGTGAAATGGTATCACCCTGCCGCACCCCTCTCTTGACATCAACGATCACTTCTTTGTAGAATGGTGAGATCCTGGTAGTGAATCCGCAATACAGCTCACGGAGGATCCTGATGTATTGGGCTTGTATGCCCTGATTGGCTAGGGCTTCAATGACCGCTTCCGTCTCAACAGAATCAAAGGCCTTCTTTAAATCAATGAACGTTAAGCAGAGCGGCATCTTGAACTCCCGAGAAACCTCAATGAGTTTGGTTATCGTGTGGATATGGTCGATGGTGCTGAATCCTTTGCGGAACCCTGCTTGCTCACATGGTTGTCCTTCATCTAGTGTTCTGCCAATCCTATTCAGGATGACTCGAGTGAACAACTTGTAGATGACAGACAATAGGCAGATCGGGCGATAGTTGCCAATGTCATGGATGTCTCCCTTCTTGAACAGTAGTACGGTCCTGCTGGTTTTCCATTGAGATGGAACCTTGCATTCAGACAGGTAGCGAGTGAAGAGCCGAGCCAGTGTATTGATTAGTACTGACGGCAGGTTCTTCAGGTGTTCAGGTCTGACCTTGTCTGGGCCGGGTGCTGTTTGTTTCTTTACCGACGAAATGGCGTGTCGGATTTCGGAGGGGAGAACGTTGGGAACGACATACCCATCCTGTGGAATTTGGTATGTCGGCAAGTGGACATGGCTATCGAAGAGATTTCGACACTGGAGAAGAATTGTTCCTCGGAACATGCGATAAAAGAGGTGTTGGAGGCGTCGGTGTCCTTATCAACACAAACTTGGCCAAGAGCATTGATTCATTCGAATGCCTAACAACCCGAATCGGACGTTTACATTTGAATAGATGTGGCTCACTGCCTGCAGTTTCTATCTTCGTTGTCTACGCACCAACATCTCATTATGATGAAAGAGAAATCGAGAAGTTCTACATGGAGCTAGAGAAATTCTATAAAGAAGACCACACCTTCTACAAGATCATTGTGGGTGATTTTAATGCCAAGATAGGACCGAGAAGATCAGCTGAAGAACTTCACATCGGAACCCATGGCCTAGAATGGAACGAACAGGGTGAGAGACTGTCTGAGTTCATCATGTCGACCAAGACCATTCATGGTAACTCACAGTTCCAGAAGGCAGAATCTAAACGATGGACATGGGAGTCTCCCGGTGGACGATTCCACAACGAAATAGACCACATCATATTCAATCGACGGTTTTGCCTGACTGATGTCGCTGTTGTCCCAAAATTTCGAACGGGATCGGACCACCGTCTCCTTCGTGCAAAATTCTACTTCACAGAGCGGGGAGAAAGGGCTGCAAAGTTCAAAAAGAGAACTCCCAGAACGACCACCAACTGGGAACTCTTTGGTACTATTGCGGCAACATGGGAAGATGCCATTGTTGACAACATTGACGAGGAATACGATCGACTGGTTCAGCACCTCCATGAATGTGCGAGGAACGCCAAGAGAGAGATAGCCACAAAAAGTCGCCTATCTTCGAAAACTCTTGAGCTAATTCGCCAGCGTGGTTTGGCGCATGCCTCAGGCAACCGCAAGCTAACGTCCGAGCTTGCAAAGCAGTGCAGAGATGCGATCAAGGAAGACCTCAAAGAGAGAAGAGCAGAAGTACTGGTAGATGCGGCAGAAGCCGGGAAAAGTATTCGTAACGCCCGCCTGTCCTTCGCCAACTATAAGACCAAGATGACTGCCCTCCGACGTCCTGATGGATCCATCACATCCTCCAGAACGGCAATGGAGAAGATTATCCATGACTTCTACTCAAATCTCTCTTCGAAGTCAATTTTAGTTATTACTAAATTTAATGAGTGTCCGGAAATTATAAGACACATTATAAGACACTTCCTACCCATTTGTGCCTCACAGAGAGCCCGGCAAGCTACGGAGAGTATCCTGCCTGCATGGGCAGAGCCCAGCAAGCTCCCTGTGGCGTATTCGATATGACAAGTACAGTAACGACAATAGGTCTCATTCCCCTGACCCTGAAAGAGCCTCCAATCATTGGGAAAAGATGAGTAAGAAGAGGCTGCTAATATCTCAGAACTGGGAGGAATAGAGATGTTACTGGAGCCTGCTCAAGTAATGCGATGATCAATGGGATAACAGTGATACAGTCATACAGTGATAATACAGTGATACTAAATTTAATATCACATAATCTTTCTCTCAAATAAAGAATGTAACCTTTACACACATATCTATATATGTGTATACACACACACACACACATATATATATATATATATATATATACATATATCAGAGTTCCTACCCAAGTATTATACTTCGCAAGGCATGCACTTGCTGCTGATCCACATTCTTGGTCAGGGCTACATTAATAATAGTATATTCACTGGAAGGCTGGAGCAATAGCACAGCCGGTAGAGTGTTTGCCTTGCACATCGCCCACCGGGGTTTGATTCCTCTGCCCCTCTTGGAGAGCCCAGCAAGCCACTGAGATTATCTTGCCCGCATGGCAAAGCCTGGCAAGCTACCTGTGACATATTCGATATGCCAAAAACAGCAACAACAAGTCCACAATTTGTTGTGAGACATTACTGGTGCCTGCTGGAGCAAATTGAACAATGGGAGGACAGTGACAGTGACATATTCACTAGAAAGAAGGAGATCATTACACGAGTCAGTTCATACCTTCCGCATTATCCTTTGGTTCAGTTTTGGTGCAAGGATGAAGATCAGTTAGAGCATATTCAGATGTAAACCACTGAGATGGTTTTGAGTCCTAATCCATGTTAAAAGACCAATGAATTCCTATTCATAAGAATAATTTAGCTTGGAGGAGACAGATGTCTTACCCTAAAATTAGGATCAGGGTGACATCCACAAAGTAGATATCACTTCCTCTCTTCAAAACGTAGCTCCAGATGGAAGCTGCCTGGGCCTCCAAGTCACCACTTGGAGGACAAATACCAACTGACTGAATGTGGCAGGGAAATGAACAAGACAGACTTTTGCTGTGCTAAACCACCGAGATTCTGAGGTTTTCTCTGGCAGCGTAACTGACCTTACTCTGTGGAGGGCAAAGAGCCTCCTACATAAGACATTTAAATAGTTTTTATTTTGAATTTTGAGAAAGGGTAATTTTTTTTTCTCAGAGTTCCTCTGTATGCCTGCTTGATTATAGTCATTTTCTTTTTCTGGGTGAAAGGTTAATAGAGAATACTAACTGGGAACTGAAGCAATAGCACAGTGAGTAGGGAGTTTGCCTTGCACCCGGCCGACCCAGGTTTGATTCCCAGCATCCCATATGGTCCCCAAGCACCGACAGGAGTAACTCCTGAGTGCATGAACCAGGAGTAACCTCTGTGCAATGCAGGGTGTGACCCAAAGAGAAAAAAAAAATAGAGAACACTAACCTAATAGCGTTTCTAGCAACAATAATGGGAAGAACTCATAGTTTAGTGTTCTTATATAGGATTCAGGTTACCATTCGGTGGGGGTGATGGGGCTGAGGATTAGGAGAGGAAGAGCTGAACTAGACATAGCATAAGGTCAGTGGTGGAGGCTCTTAGGCACTTTGGGGAGGAGTGCAGTAACTGTACATCACAAATGATGCTAACACCAGCGAAACCACATTAGCTCAAATTCAGTTTACAAAAATCACCCTAA